TAACTACTACTTTCTTCTCTCTCTCTCTCTCTCTCTCTCTCTCTTACCCCCCCCCCCCCCCCCCCCCCGTTCTCGTTCTTTCTCAATATGTAATTGGCAAAAGTCCTTTTTCCTCTAAACTCCAACAACTAAACAACTTTCTTAGTCTCCCTTCCCCTCTTGCACTGACAGAATTTGGAAAATCTTTGGCACCAACCTCTAACCGACCAAAATATTAGTTTGGAGGAGAGAAAGAGGAATGATAGGTGGAACTTGGTGAGTATTGAAAGAACGAGAATGAAAGTATATGGATTCAAAAGTTTGCCCGCCTCTTTCACTTGGTTTCACTGCTTTCCACGTATTATGGCACGCCGTTTACCCATATGTTTGTCTGATCAAATCCCTGAATTGGGCTCTCTTTCCCTTTAAGATGGATCCCTGTATTCTGAGGCACTTGTTTGATGATTTGATTTTCTTAAAGGAGCTGGGCAGGGCATTTGTTTGGAGGAGGGGTAAAAGTGGAAGGGTTGTTGGGGACTAGTGAAAGAAAATAGGTTGGTTAGAGAAGAAATTTGGTTTGTGTTGAAAAGGTTTGGTAAGGGTGGAATATAGTATTTGGAAGTTGTGGAATATATTATTTGGAACGTTTTGATCCCACATGTAGGTGTTGTAGACATGAGGTGCTTTGGACACCTTGGTTGTGGGGAGGGCGTGTGGTGTAAATTTCCTTGCTCTTATGGTCCCTTGCTGTGGAGATTCTTGACCTTCTATGCGGTAACTCGGATTAGACTACCTGATTGATCAGCCAATTTTCCGGCCTCTCCTATGACAAACTTGAATAGGTTTTGGTTGCGAGTGTCTGGATTATAGAGATTGCTTGAAACTTTAGAAGCCTGATTAGCAATCATACATCAGGCTGAGTGGATGCTCTCAGTCATGAACTTCTGAATGGAGAATAACCATCTTCAATGCGGAATTACTACAATAGCAAAATCTGGTTTCCATTGCATAGATGCTTAGAAGATCCAAGATGTGTCTAGTTAAATATAATGAAGAATTATCATATTGACAATAGCAAAATCTGGTTTCAGACTAGCACTTGAAGAGGACTGGATATGTTGATGGTTAGAGTCGAAGAGTTCAGTGAAAGAAAGAAGCTTGCAAGGTTACTTAAGCCCCTGTTAGGTCCTATGTCAAAAGGGAGGTTTTGATTTCGTTATGGAGATGTCTGAATGTTTTAGATTTTCTAGGTATTGACTTTACATAGGTGGATCATGGATTATTTTTTGGATGGATTTGGCTTGGTAGTCGTTTATAGCATTAGATTTTGGAGGGTTATATGAATTTCAAGGTGGTTTGTGTTTCCTTGACTAGTGTTGAGGCTTTCTTGTGTGTAGCTTGTAGTCAGGCACAGTGTTTTAGAAAACGCTAGGCGGCGCCTAGGTAGAGAGGGGGGGGGGGGGTGGTTCAGGCTGCCCAGCGCCTAGGCGGGTGCCCAGAACATGGGCGGCCTAGTAGAAAGAAAAATGTCTCTATAGTCTAACAATATAAGCATAACTGTATAACACATAAGAGTTAGGGACTTAGGGCACATTAAATGTATAGTTCACAAGTCCACATAGCATACACTCCTCCATAAGTCCATATCCAAATTATCCATAGTCTGATAGTCTATACTTCACAACTTGGATCACCACTTCGATTAGATCCCGAAGAAGACATCTTAAAATAATATAAGCCATAAAAAAAAAAAATTTCACTTACTTTGATTGCTCGATCTCCAAACTTCCACCTCTAAGATGTTACTAATGACTCAAAATCTTTGGAAAAACTCTCTCATAGATTTATAAAACATCCAAAGCTAAATCTAATAGCAATGGGTGATGCTTAGATCAATTTCTCGTAACTTTGAGAAACCTTTCGATCCTATGAAAATCGCCAAAAACTAGTTTTTTTGGTTTTCTCTCTCTCTAAAATATGTTCTAATGGGGTTTAGGTTTCAAATGAACCTAAAACCCACGATTTTACTCTTTTCTTTTGGCTGCCTAGGCTTGGGTGATGCACCCATGCCTTCTGGACCACCTAGGCGGCCACCAAGGCGCTGGGCCGTCCGCTTTTTAAAACAATGGTTAGGCATTTGTGCATGAGTGGTTAGTCAGCTATCTTTTCAGTAGCCGTGGTTGCTTAGTGGCCTTCCCAAGGTCTGGGAGTAGGTTAATACCAAAAATTTGAATTGTGATTTATGTAATGATTATTTTTCAATACTCCCATAGTGTTGTAATCCTGCTGGGCTAGGTTACTTTCCATGTTTTTTTCTGGGAGAAACCCAATGTGTATGTTTTGGCCATCACATGGTCAATTTGGCCAAGCCAGTGAGGAGTTGTTTGATGCAATGTTCAAACTGAGATAATCCCATCCTGGATGTGTTCATCTTTGAAAAATGAATGGGCAATTGAATGCCATTACAGCATGTCAACTATTTCCCAATGTAAATGCTTTAGGTGGTTAATAGGAAACACCATTGGCATCACATGAAATTGAATTATGGATCTTGATTTTCTTGTTTTCCTGCTGTTTATGAACTGAATAAGCTAGTTGATAATGCGCTGTAGTCCAACTTGATATGTGGGCTTTCTCCTGATTTTTGCTGGTGCAGCATACTGGGTTCACTTGGTGTTCGTTAACCAGAGATCAAGGTCTAAGTGTTGAGAAAATAATTCAGTTTGTATTCTGTATTGGAGTGTTTAGGTTCTAATGGATTCCTTGATAGGTCAATTTTGGACTCTGCTGTTCTGTTTCATATTTTCTGGTCATGCACCAGATGATTATTGCCAGCATTGAAATAAAAAATGACTGGTGCAATATAAACTTCGTCCTCAAATGATACGAGTAGCAGAAACAGTAAACTGTCTATGGTATTTCTTTTTTATTTTATTGTCTATTTTGATGCTTAATTGACAGACTAAATGAACTAGAACAATTTATGAAATGTTCAGATGATTTCCACTCGATCAACAGTTTTGTTGCATTGTATTATGTAAGATTTCAAAGTTGTCTTTAGCAATCTATATACGTCCCTCACCTGTAAGAGTTTTTTTGGAATGCATAGCCTCAATGGTATCATGGCATGAATTTCTTTGGTGGCATGATCGTATAAATCGTGTATTCTAATTGGAGTGTTTTAGATTGATGTTCACATCACTTATCAAATTCACAGGATTTGTATTGTAATAATGCATAGCCTCAAATGTAACATCATCAACTGGGTTTTCATGGTCATAGGTTTCAATAAATCTTATGAATTTATGTAATATGATCAAGTATCTTATTGCTGGTTAAGCATATCCAAGAACTTTCTTACTTGGAAATTGATGTTTGCATATACTTACCAAGATTGGAAGGCAGTTCATAGTACTATTATGAATTATTGTGAACACTTGCTCAAAAGAACAAAAAATACACTTGCCAAGAGGAGGCAAAAAAAAAGAAAGGAAAAGGAAAGAAAGATTGATGTTATAATGTTATGCCCATTGCCGAGGCTCATGAGTATGGTACTTTTGCAGCTGTCTGGAGCTCCTTTCCTGCGACCAAGTGGCTCATCTCGGCGTGTGGCGGTGTCGAGCAGCCGAGAAGCGATGGTTGGGAGCGAGGCCGATCCCTCATCTCGCCCTCGAACCACTGATGCTAGTCCGGGTGGCTTGAGGAAGGTGGTCAGTGGGCAGAGGAGTTCCCCTGTCGGCTCCTCTGAGCCCAAACGCACTTCTTCTGGCAGGAACATGAAGAACTATGAGTCCGCCCTCAAGGGTATTGAGTGCTTAAATTTCGACGCAGAGGAGAGGCCGGTAGAGAGGCCATATTAGCAAACCATCTCTCTCTCACTACATCTATCTCTCTACTATTACTCTCTCTGTAAATCAATTTATAATATACTTTTAGCCATGGAGTGGGAATTGTTGATTCTGAGGATTGCAGGGAAGGTTCAGCTATTCACAGGGAAATTTAACTAGGTGGATGTTGGAACTCGAAGGCATTGCTGCACAACCGAAAGGGAAGGGATTTGGTGAATGCCTAAATGATTTGAAGTGTATTTGGGCTCGTTTCCTCTGCCACCTCTTTGGTGGCTGCTTCATTCTCTCTCGTTTGAACTGACGTATGGGTCCTGAGTGACTTCATCGTATACTTGCCTTCCATTTTATTTCTTTTGTGTTGATTCCTCTGTTTAGTGAGAATGCTGTTGATCAAGTAAGTTTGTGGTTACCCAGAAACTGGGCCTGGGCGATAATACGAGGAGAAACAGTTCTAATCGGTGGTTTGGAAATCTGTATGTTATTTGAGAGGTACTTCAACTCTGAGCCTGGCCCGGATAAATATGTCATTTGTTTTTATGTGTGTTTGAGAGGTGGTAGGGCACAGAAATGTGGCGCCCAATTTCAAGTATCTATCTGTACATCATAGGTTCTTGACAAACATATATGGGTGTCTCAGTGGGTTCATTTGCTTCATTCTGTATGAGATGCATAATGCTTTCACGGCCTTTATACATCACCTGTCTCTCTCCCTCTCTCTGTTTATATGATAGGTGCCTTTGACTATATGATAGTGAGTCGTTGAGAAACTGATAGAATTTCAGACATTCTAAGAATTTTAAGGCAATGAGTTATTTTTATATTTGCATTTTGTTGTGTTTATATGATGCGTGCCTTTGACTATATGATAGTGAGTGGTTGAGAAGTTGGTGGTATTTTAAGCATTCTAAGAATTCAAAGGCAATGTGTTACTTTTATTTTTGCATTTTGTTCTCTGTCTCTGTCTCTCTCTCTCTCTCTCTCGCTTTTATTGGGTAGCTCAACGTTGGGAGCTAAACTTGAGATGTATGGTAAATGGTAAAGATCCTGATCCACATAAGGTTAATACAGATGGCTTTTCATTTTTGGCCAGAAAGAGAGTGCTTGGCTCTTTGGCTGGTTGGGGTGGAATATTTTGCATGTGCTAAAAAAAATTCTAAAAAATCATGCTTTAGCTGAAGTATTATAATATATAATATGTACTGTATATAATTTGTATTTTTAGAAATTTTCAATATGATAAGGTATCTTTTTGAAAATTGTCAATGTGTAAGATTTACAGAATTTTGAATATATCGGGGTCGTTTTTTGGAAAATAATACCCCACATTCAAATTAACAAGTACTCCAGTATGCTTCTACTCGGGGGCTGCGAAGTTGGTAAGTTTGGTTCCCATACATGAGATGGGATCGGCAGTCCCTGAGATATATGTTGGGTGCTTATGCCCAGGATTTACTGGCTATATTTCTCTGAGGAGTTCGAGTAGTTTCAACTAAAAACAAGGGTGAGTTTAAAAGTGGGGAAAATTGCTCAAAGGGTGATTGGCCCACTGCCAGCACTTTCATTAGTGGAAGGTGGCGACGGATTTAATTCCATCTCTTGTGAACGAAGGAAGTGTAGTAAAACCAGGCTAAGTGATGGAGATGGTCCCCCTTGACTGATGCATATGCGCTGAAGAAGGTTTGGCTCAGAATCGGTGAAATTCCCTTGAATGTCTGGCACCTTGATACTTTTGCCTCCATTGGGGAAAAATGCGGGAAAGTTGAAGCAATTCACTGAGTACCTAACCCTCGGAGCAATGGTGGAGGTCCTCGATCTGGCATCCATTCCGTCGTCTCGTCTCTATGGGTTTGCCTTGCAGGAGCCTTTGTCGGCCTCACCTTATCTTGGAATTTAGCACTCCCCAATGGCCTCCGCGAAAGTTCTCAAGCTCTGCCTGTCACTTCATCTCCCACTCCGCTTTTAATTCAGCTATCGCCTGACCTCAGCTCTCCTCCACCTTTCTGCCGCCAGTCACTTCCTGCTGGCTTTGCTCATCCATCCTCAATTTCCCCTACCCGATTCCCTGCTAACGAGCCTTTGGTATATATAGATGTGTGCATAAGGAATAGAACAGCAAACAATATAGATGTGTGCATGAGGAATAGAACAGCAAACAACAGGGAACATTATAGATGTGTGCATAAGGAATAGATGAACAACAGGGAACAGTAAACAACAACCAGCTAAAAGCATACGGCACACCAAAGTTTATAAACTTAATAAGGATCACACTTATAAACAAGATACACGAGTAGATGGAAAGATCTTACAGGCATAAAAAGAAGAAGCGGAACTTGAAAGAAGTAGACACCCAAAATAAAAAACTAGGCCGAAAGGCTCGAGAAGCGCTCTGCCATTTCGAATGTCTTAAGAGGCCTTATATAGACGCCGGACCTGAAATCCGGATTCCAAAATGATAAAAAAAAACACAGCAGGCCAGGACAGATGGCCTTATGAATAGTAAAAAGGTAATGTACAGTGACAGGTGGCAAGTATGAACAGTGCTGTCGACAAAATAGTGCTGAATAGTATTGCCGACAAAATAATGCTGAACAGTGCTGTCGACAAAATAGTGCTGAACAGTGCTGCCGACAAAATAGTACTGAACAGTGCTGCCGACAAAATAGTACTTTTGCTACAGTGATTCTGCTACAATGTTTCTACTACAGTAATTTTGCTCAATCTGTGTCATAATTGAGAGGATAGCCATTAGAATCATAACTTGGTGAAGAAGAAATAGACGGGCTATGAGATGGTCCAATATAAGTATCATCACTGGAACTGTCTGTGGGTGGTTCTGCAGGAGGGGGATGATCAGCAAGCCATATCTGTAACTGATGTAATAATGCCGGTCCTCTGGGTGTTTCATCAGTCCATACTGTCTTTCCTGTATACACATCCAAGGGAATCCATTCTGGGCCGGATTCTATTAATATAGCACATGAGAATTTTCAATTCTTTCCATAATTCTGTTTGAAAGAGCCAGTGATTCATGAGATTAGAATTGTACCATCCAATGGTTTGGATTAAAGGATGTTGGGTGAAATAGGTACAATCTGGGTATATTTGAGGTCTAAAGTCTTGATGGAAAGTAATAATGATGTATGGTTTGTGAAGATAAGCAAATGATTCAATCCATTGACTATAATGGTAATGTTTTATAAGAAACTTATAGAAATTGAATGCTCTAGGATTGGAGTGGATGTAATTGTTCCATTGTAGGAAATAATAATGTCTAAGGTAGGATAATAATTTTCTTACATGGCAATTAAAACATATATGATGGTTTTGGGTAAGGTACCAGAGGAAATAAATAGCTTCTTTTGGCATATTATAATAATGTCGGGTTTGAAAGAGGGATAAAAATGGATAGGTAGGATGGCATCGAATTCTTTGAAAACAATCTCTATGATTTCTGATCAATATTTCATGCATCTTTTGTTGCATATTCTCATTTCTGGATTCCATAGTTTTTTTGAGAATAATGTCATAAATTTCATTAGGAACTTCATTTGTCTCTTCTTCAAGTCTGATCGTTGCTCCTATGAAGGGAACAATAGCAAGACTGGTTTCTTCAGAAAATTTTCTTCTTGAAAACATGTCAGCCAAAATATTGTTTTTTCAGAAATATGCTTGTACTCAAAATTCCATTAAGAAAACCAATTAGACCATCTGAGTAATTGAGGATTCGGAAGAATCTTATTTTTGAATTTTAGCATATTTGGAAAAACAGATAAATCCATTTCAACAAGGAAAATATGTTCTACCAAGTGAAATTGAAAATTTTCAATTCCTCTTTTTACTGCAAGGATTTCTTTGAATGTTGAATGGTAATGGAGTTTAGAGTCTTTGAACTTTCCGCTCTTGTATCCACATATCATTATGGTTTTGTCCTTTTCTTCAAGTAGGATACATGCCCAAAATTCATTAGAAGCATCAGTTTGTAAAATTATTTTTCCTGTAGAAGGAATTGTTATAGAAGGTAAATCTTGAGATAATCGTTTAAGCTCTTGAACACACTCAGTCTGTTTTCTTGTCCATGGTGGTGCTTTTTTTTTTAGCAATAGATAAAGAGGACTAGTGAACAAGGAAATTTTAGGAATAAAAGGGGACATATAATTTACAATTCCTAAAAATTGCTGGATTTGTTTTATAGAGGATAAAGTATCAGAAAATTCTAAAAGATGTTTGGCTATATGAGGCTGGAGTTTGTACTTTCCATTTTGGAGATGCATACCAAGGAAGTCTACTTCTATAGTAGCAAAGACACATTTCTTTTCAGAAAACATAATACCATACTTAGAACATATGGAGTAGAATTTATCTAACAAAAGGATGTGACTGTCTAGATCAGGGGAAAAGAGAAGTATATCATCTATATATATCAGTGCTTGGGTTGAGATTGGTTAAAAAATGGTGGTTAAAACTTTTTGAAAATA